GACACTATTGTCATGTCCAAGTGCTGGTTTATGCATCATATTAGCTTCAGGACATGACTGGAACCTTTCTTGTGACTAATGGCTCTCTAGCCATTTGATAGCTATCCTGGGTTACTGGTAGCACAGAGCTCTTTCAGAAATAAATAGGTTGGCCTGAATTGCATTTGGCCCTGATGGTGACTAGACTAGGTTATCTAAAGGAACGCTTGCACCCATATATGACCTCCTGCCCCTTGATGTCAGCAGCAGATGCCCTCTTCCGGGAACCCTCTGTGAATGAGATTAGGAGGGTGAGCACCCGGAGGAGGGCTTTCTCTGCGGTGGCGCCCCATCTATGGAATGCACTCCCCAGACAGGTCTGCCTGGCGCCGTCATTATTTGTTTTTCAGTGCCAGGCTAAGACCTTTTTATTTAAAACTTATTTTAACTGTTAATTATTTATTAACTAGGTTTTTTTTTTTTTTAGCCGAGAATGCACTGGGGGGAGTGTTATTTATTGTATTATTTATTGTATAATTTTAGTATTTATGTGTTGTGAGCCGCCCCGAGGCTTTGTTGTGATGGGGCGGCATAGAAATGTTTTAAATAAATAAATAAATAAATAAATAGACCATTAAACACTCCACATATGTTTCTCAAAAGACTCTCAAGTTTGTATGTTTTTCCTCCTAGCTCCCAGAGTTAATGTTCTGTCTTATGCTCTTGCTAACCACATTATCAGTGTACACACATCCTATGCCGTTCCTTTAAAACTACCCTGTCTTCTTACAATGTTCCCACTGCAATAAGTTACCTACCATTGCAATATTTTTCACCGCCGTTGCCCAACTCTTGTTCCTTTCCATTTGTAATTACTTGGCGTATATATTTAACTACTCCCCATAAATATCAGATCTTCGGTTCTTCTTTAACTCACTCGTCATCAGCTGTACTTCCTGCTTGCCACCCTGTGTTCTTCAGAAGTGTTTGTCAACCTCCACTCGCTATCTGAAGATAGCCCCAAAAACCACCTTTGCAGCTGGAATGACCTCAGAGTTTTTTCTTGGACCGAATGCTTACGGTACTGTCATTCATATTGCCTAGATGATTTCTCTTGAACAGGGATTTTGAGCCTGTTTCCTGTGGATATCTGACTACAATGCTTTGGAGCATCAGGATTTATCATCATCATAAATAACAGATTTCCACTCATCTCCACCCACAGATTGATAGGATTGTACACTGGAAGAGATTAATTAAGCTGATCTCCATTAGCTGAACCAAAAATAGAAGCTGGCCCAAGTGATAACTCCACCAATTTTTCTGGAAAGGAGTGACTATTCACAGAATGCCCTCCCTCTGCCCTCCTTTAACCAACTTCCATATGATATTTATTTATCATATTCATGTGCTACTTCACAACCATAATCTCAGAGTGGCTGACAACAGGAATGAAAGCAAAATAACAATGCACACAATAAAACGGGTCAACAATAACATGAACAAAAAAGACCAAAAAAAGTAACAAAGAAAAAAACCAACTAGCCCTGGAGCAGAGGAAAGGTCCATGAAAAGAAGGGCTTCACCTGGCTCCAGAACATTATCAAGGTAGGTGGCAGGTGAGCCCCTCTGCACATGGGATTTCACAGCTGGGGTGCCACCACTGAGTTTTCCCTAGTTGCCCCCCGCAGAACCTCCTCTAGTGTGCAACTCTCAAGAAAGGCCTCAAAAGTCTTATGGTCCAGGTAAGAACATCTGAAGACAGGAAATCCTTCATGCTTCCAAGGCATGAGGCATTTTAAAACCAAACCATTGAATTGGGTGCAAAAATTGACATGTCAGAATCCAAAAGGAAATGTATACTGTTGATGTGGGATTTTGTTACGTTCCAGATCAAACATATTGCTTAAAAACTCACTACTTTAGACCATTAAGGATACTGCAAAAACAACAGCAAGCAAAAATGAAGGTTTTACTTACGGTCTGAAAAAAGGACATTCTGTATGACATACTGCCTGAAAGCCTTGTTGTACAACAGACCAAAATAAAATAAAATAAAATAAAATAATCCTATTTAAAACAGCAGACAGAACCCTGGTTTGTCCTATAATGAATGTTTCTGAAGGCATCCTATCCTCCCCATATTCAAGTTTACTTCTCTTAGGTAAACCCATTTCTCTGCCCTTTGCTGTTTCTCAGCATTCCAAGTCTCATTTTCACAAGCTCTAGAATATTCAGAGGAATCCAACTAAATTAGCATATTCCTTTCTACAGGTCAATGTACCAAGTTATTGCAGAGGCCAAATCTAGTACACTGTGAGAGGTGCCATGTTTGTTTCCATGCTGCCTCCCTCCAATAATGTTTGATGGAAGGAAATCCAGCGTGCAGGGCCCACCACATGGTTGCCACATAACAGTGCAACAGTGGGGTGAAGCAGTGAATTCACCAGCTCTGCCATGTAATCTGGCTCCTTCAGGCATTTCCAGGAGTGGCGCTGGAGCAGCCACCCGCCAGCAACTCTTACACAACATAAAACTGGCTATCAGAGACTATCTAGATTAAGCACGTTCTACTGTTGAGCATACAAGCTGGACCAGACCTGAACTTACCATTTAACTAAGATACATTATGGACTAGTAGACTTTGGCACTCTGGGTAATTAGAAGATCTGAGTTCAAAACAATACCTGGCTATTTCTTCTTGGCTTGCTTTTTGCAATCTTGTATCTTAGCTATGGCAAAAGGGGACAATACTATCCTACATCACATGGTTGTTCTCTTGTATTGCAAGAAATAGCTGTGCAATCCATGGCATTTGTAGTGAGGGCTAAAGAAGTCTTCTGTCTAAAACCTTGGATAGCCACTGCTCATCAGTACAGACAATACCAAACTAGGTGGTCCAATGATCAGGTTGTATAAGGCAACTTCCCAACTTCATTTCCCACAGAGCTACATAGAGTTTACCCACAAGATCCCAATAAGGTATAGGTTAAACTGAGAGAAAATGACATGCCAAAGTCTATGTAGTAAGCCTCATGACTTTCTTACTCAAGTCTCACCAGCCCATATCAAACATTACCTGCCCTAGAATTCTATATTCCACTACAGCAGGTATCATAAAATCAATAGACATGCTAAAGAATATGAAATTGTATTATACTATATTTAATTAATAATACAATGTATTCTTTGTAGAAACACAGACATGTTTAGAAGCAGTTAGGGTAAAGACATACTTTTTCTTGAAAGCTACAAGTGGTATGAGATGGACTTGGCAAACCATGGATTTTCTACACATGTGCTTCTCGTATCTAACTATTGCTTCCAATCAGATAGCCCTTGCAGAGTTTTGAAACAGTACAAAAGCGTACAACACTGTTTATCAGAGGTGGAAGTAGGATACCTGGGCCCAGGACATACAGAGACCCTTTATTCAAAGTTGCAATTCTCTGAAAAACTATTGTCTGTCTCAGGGAAGGAGGGTGGGGAATAATTTGCAGTTGGAAAGCTAATTGTGACTACAAAGCTTGCCTGGAATGTACTGCATACCAGCTGAAATATACTGTAGCCATAATCTAATACCTTGTTAAGCCTTTAAAAAAAGTTTCCTCTGAGACATACGTGACGCTTGACATTTTTTCCTAACCACACTGAAGACTACATTATGCAGGGGGATTGTATACTTCCATCAGTCTTGCAAGAAAAATGTTATGCCAGACTGATTGCAGGCTGCTTTTATTTATAGATTTTCATATTCATAAAAGGAGTTGCTATGTGAACAAGGGCTAATGAAATAAAGGCTGGTAAGAATTCTAGTGTAAGTGCTGTGTAACTTCTATTCCAAAGAATTAGCTAGTTTCGCATGCAGTGTGGGAATAGCTCCTTCTGTCTGGAAAATGCACACCCAGGTATCTGGAGCCCGGCTAAACAGACAACAATCACTTCCAGTATTTCCGAGTGCAATGCTGGATCTTTTCTGGTGATTCCAAAACGTGTTTGGAGCTGTGCACTCTGACACACCCATTTCCAAATCTGTAGAACTGTAAGCATTATCCAGTTTATTTCTTCATGTTCAAATTAATGTAAAAGTACTGGGGAGGCAATTTCTATGAAACAGTGTTTTGTTAGCCTCCTAGGAGGAATTAAAATAAGGCTGAAAGGATAATAGATTCCCCTCAAAGGCGCTCAAGCCAGTTTAGCAACAATAAGTCTCTGTTAAATTTATTTTGACAAGTACTTCTGGTTCTGTATCACATCCAAATGGAAGAGCATTTTGTCATTGTATGCATGTTATTTTCTTAAACATGTGAACCACTTTCATTTCCAAACAGTGTATTTCATTATTCACAGACGGAACTCAGAAAGCTTCTAGCGGGGTGCGGGGGGGGGGGGGAGAGTTGCCCATTAAGGCCAGTCTGGCTTAAAGTTTCCTTCAAAATTTCACTAGTCTGCTCCAAAAAAGCATTTAAAGCCAGACAGCACTATTCACTTCTGTCCTTTAAATCTTAACTTTTTGTCCCCACTATGAAGAAGAGATGTAGCTATGTCTCGCCTTGCATCTCTTCTGTTTGTGAGTGCTTTTCCCTCAGCAGATGGGAACAGCAAGAATGCAGCTATTATAAGTACGAAGGGTTTTTTCCCCTGAGCAGTCTGCCTCATATAACGACAAGAACACAAAGAAATGCATAGCTGTAGTTTTCACTGCTGAATATCTGCTGAAGCATTGTCATGCTCTCGTCTATACTGCTAACTTTGTCAGTCTCTCTAGCTTCTATAGGCTAGAAAAGCACAGAACAGAATCAAGATACTTCTCAGCATGTACATACACAGAGAGAGCGGGCTGTTAAAAAATCACAGGTTACAGTCCAATGTCACTGCCAACAGAGAAGCAAATAGTAAAATTTCAATGAAATGGATTATTCTAGTAATCCAGGGTATTAGCAAGCCTGGGGAGGTTTTGTTATCTGAAACATATTCAACTAATCAGATTGTATCAGAGATTTCATTCATAAGTCACTTACCTATCTGGGCTGAACAAAGCTGCAACAAGTAAAATCCAAGAGCTGCACACAGCCAGAACTTAGCCATTGTTTCCTCCTCGAGTTAATGTTCAAAAGGCAAGGAGTTCCTCTCCCAGCCTACACAAAGGAGGGGCAGGGGAAAAAAGGAGAAAAAAAGGTCCCAGGTCTGGTTCAGTCTGCACTGAAAGCCAGCGTCTGAAGTTTGCTGCAGTTTTTATTTCAATTCAAAGTAACTGAAGTAGTGACATAACAGGGAGTGGAACTAAATCAGAAGTCACACCCATTCTGAACAAAGTGACTAGGCAAAAAGGGGAGGGAAGAAGGCAGCTAATTATGAGTAAACAGTTATGAGCCTCATGTTGCGAAGGCTTGAAATGTATTCATTACAATGAAGTCAGAAGTCTCACGAAGGCAGCTGAGCCAAAAGTGTGCAGCTTCTCATCTCTGAGGAGGAGGTAGGAACGGCAGTCTGCAGACCAAAAGGCATTCCTATAGTCTAACCAAATGCCTAGAACTATGACATTTTAGACAGGACTTTTAATATCATTTTTCCCCTTGCTACATCCCTGTGGCTCTGTGCATTCTCTTCTCCTGATACAGTCACTTCTATACCCGACATCATGAAACAATTTACATCTCTTTTTAGTTTTGCAGTATTATCTGCTAAGAACTCTCACAAATTCCACTGAAATGGGCAGAGAAGAGAAAGTGCTTCTTTTGTCATTTCTCTTGTGATTCTAGGCTAAACTAAACTAGGCTAAACTACAAAGTGGAAATTTGTACATAAAATCCATGGGGAATCCTGCATGCTTTGGGACACACATCTTTGAAAAACTGTGCCATTATATGCTTCAGATGTTGCACCTGTAGTGCAAAATGGAGAAGCATTTCCTGTCACAGTCAAATCTGCATAAGGACTGAACTTATCCCCAGATTGACGGCTGTTGAGCCAGGCAATATTAGTCAGAATTACAGGACTCCTTCGATTACTATTAGAACAGCAATCAAGTAGGTTTGAAGGAAAGTGGTGTTCATTTTCAAAATCAAATGGAGGCTAGTTCAGGGCCAAGGTATTTTCCGCATGTGCTTAGGATTAGTGCAATAGACATGATATGAGCTATCTGTGAGTAGATCCTCCAAGCTCTTCTCCTGCTGCAGGAGAGCCTGACATATCTACCCTTCATCCATGCTACTTTTCTAATTAAAATGGCCACAAAACAGTTTATGAGTCTCATATGGAACCTATGCAATAGTTCAGATCCTCCAAAAGCTATTTATTCTTATTTGTAAGTGGTGGGCCTTCCTGACTAAGAGTCTCCCACCTCACCTCTATGAAGGGGGCTTCTTCATTCCCAATGACCCATCATGAGCTCTAAGAATGGCTGAGAACAGATTCTGGATACACTCCAATAACAATAAAACAATAGGTTTAATCATGCACACAACTAAAATGGAAGAAAAACAATTAAGAATATAGTAGTTACCTTTTTGAATCGGTCTACCATTTTGAGTGGTCAGTAATGTCATTTTATTTATTTATTTATTTATTTAAAACATTTCTATGCCGCCCCCATCGCAACAAAGCCTCAGGGCGGCTCACAAAAATACACGCGCACACACACACACAAAACATTTAAAACCCCCAGTGCATTCTCGGCTAATTTAAAATCCTAATAAATACAATAATTTAGCAATTGAAATAAGTTTTAAATAAAAAGGTCTTAGCCTGGCGCCCAAAAACAAATAATGATGGCGCCAGGCGGACCTCTACCACTTTTACCTCCACAGTATCCGCAAAAACCATCTGCCGGGGCCATAAGATCATGAGTGGAAGTCCTTCTTTGAAAGTTCTCCTTGAAAGAGGCGAGGAGGGCTGTTAATAGGAGAAGGGCCTTTTCAGGTATAGCACTTTGACTGTGGAACATGTTCTCCAGAAAGGTTTGTCTGGTACCAAAGTTCTATTTTTTCCCGGCACCAGTCCCAAACCTTTTTATTTACCCAGTTTTTCAATTTGTTAGATGGTATATATTTTAATCATCGTATTTTTAACTCAAGTACTGGCTGTTTTGGATTTTTTAAAATGGTTTTGATGTTTTAATTTGTGGAAACCATCTTGAGATATTTTAGTGATATAGGCAGCATAGAAAAACCTCAAATAAATAAATATGAGAATGACTTGCAACAACAAAAAGGTTGGTAGACTAGCTTCATCAGAGGACCTGGGATTCCAGAGATAGCTCTGGGCCAAGGAGTACTTCCAAGCTGCATACCCTGTCCCTTAGAAAGAGTGCAGCCCTATCTAGCATAGGGCAGATATCACTCACATGGACAATTGGTCCACCTACCAGTAACACTTCTGTCTTATCTGGATTAAGCTCCAATTAATACAACACACCAGTCCATCACACCATCCAGACACTGGTTTAGAACAGTCACCACCTCACCTGGATTAGATGAAAACAAGAGATAGATCTGGGTGTCATCTGGGTTGGTGACACCTCAACTCAAACCTCCAGATGACCTCTCCCAGCAGTTTCATTTAGATATTAAACAGCATGGGGGATAGAATGGAACCCAGTGGGACTCCATGGCATAACTGCCATGGACCAGAGCCACAATCTCCCAGTACCACCATCTGGAATCAGCCAGCCAGGTAGAAACAAAGTCTATCCAGAAGGAGACCATGGTTGATGGTATCAAAAGCCACTGAGAGGTCCAAGAGAACTAACAGGGATGCTCTCCCCCTATCACTCTCCTGGCAAAGGTTATCCCACAGGGTAACCAAGGAAGTTTTATCTCAAAACCGGCCTGAAACTGGACTGAAACAGTTCTACATGAAACAGTTTCCTCCAAGAGTGCATAGAGTTGTCCAAAAAAGGGATGTTACCCACTTGTCTGTACTTGGTGACATCTTCTGGGTCCAGGTTCACCTTCTTCAAGAGAGGTCTGATCACCACCTCCTTTGAAGGAGAGGGGACCAGGCCTTCCCTCAAAAAGACATTGGACATCTTGGACCCAGGGCTGCATCCCTTCACCAGCTTTGGTGATCAGCCAGGAAAGGAAAGGCCCATGTGTACAGATGGTGGAACTAACTTGTCCAAGCAGCTTGTTCATGTCCTCAGGCCTCAATAACTGAAATTCTTCCAAAAAGATCAGATAAACTGGAACACTGGACAGCTCCCTCACAGGACTAACTTCAACTATAGGGTCCAATTTGTGGCAGATTTGAGTAATTGTACCCTCAAAGTGTTGTGCAAATTCATCATAACAAGCCACGCAGGGTTCAATAGAATCTACTGGGGGCCAGACTGCAATAAGTCCAGAGTAGCTCCGCTGGACAACACAGTGAGGATGAGTTGGCAGCAGAGAACAATTTCTTCTTCATTGCCTTCATAGCCACAATGTAGGCTCAGTAATGAGCTCGTACTTGTATTAGGTTGGATTTGACATGGGTTTTCCTCCACCTGCACTCTAACTTTCTCCCAATCTGCTTTATTCCTCACAGCTCAGAAGTGTATCATGGCAGAATGACAGGTGTACCCATATGTTAATTTAGTATGCTTCAATTTTCAAAGCTAATTAACTGTCAACCAATTTTCAAATTTCTTCCTTCTCCAGTTCTCCCTTTGTAAAACTTCGCCATCTCTGTGTTCATCTACCTATTTTCTCCTCTGCTCTCTTCTACTCTGTCAACCCAAAATTACATCTTCTGTTCTCTGACCACATCCTTTTTCTCTTCCGGATTCTTGAATTGGAACAGATATTCATCCGGCTCCTTTAAATACTGAGTTTAACATTTGTTTAAAACATACCACTAGCCTTGAATGGATCATTCTCTTCTAATTTCCTTTCCTTATCTGAAGGGGAAGTTAGCATTGTAATGCCTTTCAGTTAACATTCACTTAGCTTGCATCTGTCTTGTACTGGACACACCGGGTCCAGTCCTATGCATGCTTAGACAGAAAAAAGCCTACAGCTCCCATGAGGGCTGAGACAGGCTAAGAGTTGTAGATCTTTTCTTTTCTTTCCAAGCATGTATAGAAATTTAAATTTAACATGCAAACTTAAGTGTGAATTGATATACTAATTGTCAAGTTATTACCAACCTCCATTGGCTATATTTAAATAGCTTTAAAGGAAACTAAAAATCTGCTTTTAGGCATACTTGGAATAATTTTACCATGGCCAAAAAGGACAAACTTATTATTAAAGTTTATACCAGGTATAGCCTTCTTTTTCATAGGTGTAAGGCTATCTTACAGGTGTTCTTTTTTACTTATTAATAAGATTCTGATTTTTTTTAAATTTCAAATTAAAATTCAACTGTGCTTATATGTATATTGTTATAAGGAGGGCTTACATCCATATACGCCCGCCCGCCCCTTGAGATCTGCAGGAGAGGCCCTTCTCCGGGAACCCTCCGTGAAAGAAATTAGGAGGGTGGTTACTCGGAGGAGGGCTTTCTCTGCGGTGGCGCCTAAGTTATGGAATGTGCTCCCCAGAGAGGTCTGCCTGGCACCGTCGTTATTTGTTTTTCAGCGCCAGGCGAAGACCT